TGGAGGATGGACTGGTTGGATCTTCTCGCAGTCCAAGGCACTCTCAGAACTTTCCTCCAACACCACAGTTCAAAAGCATCTGTCTTCCTTCGCTCAGCCTTCCCTAAGGTCCAGCTCTCACATCCGTAGGTTACTACAGGGAATACCATGGCTTTGACTATGCGGATCTTTGTTGCCAGTGTGATGTCTCTACTCTTTACTATTTTATCGAGATTGGACATTGCTCTCCTCCCAAGAAGTAAGCGACTTCTGATTTCCTGGCCACAGTCTGCATCTGCAGTAATCTTTGCACCTAGAAATACAAAGTCTGTCTCGGCCTCCACGGTTTCTCCCTCTATTTTCCAGTTGTCAATCATTCTTGTTGCCATAATCTTGGTTTTTTTGACGTTTAGCTGCAACCCGGCTTTTGCGCTTTCTTCTTTCACCTTGATTAGAAGGCTCCTCAGATCCTCCTCGCTTTCGGCCATCAGAGTGGTGTCATCTGCATATCTGAGGTTGTTAATGTTTCTTCCAGCAATTTTCACCCCAGCTTTGCATTCATCAAGCCCCGCACATCGCATGATGTGTTCTGCATACAAGTTAAAAAGGTTGGGTGAGTGGATGCAGCCTTGCCGTACGCCTTTCCCAATCTTGAACCAGTCTGTTGTTCCGTGGTCAGTTCTGACTGTTGCTACTTGGTCCTTGTACAGATTCCTCAGGAGAGAGACAAGGTGGCTTGGGATGCCCATCCCACCAAGAACTTGCCACAATTTATTATGATCCACACAGTCAAAGGCTTTAGAATAGTCAATGAAGCAGAAGTAGATGTTTTTCTGAAACTCCCTGCCTTTCTCCATTATCCAGCGGATATTGGCAATCTGGTCTCTCGTTCCTCTGCCTTTTCTAAACCCAGCTTGGACATCTGGCAACTCTCGCTCCATGTATTGCTGGAGTCTTCCTTGCAGGATCTTGAGCATTACCTTACTGGCATGAGAAATAAGGGCCACTGTACGGAAGTTTGAGCAGTCTTTAGCATTTCCCTTTTTTGGTATGGGGATATAAGTTGATTTTTTCCAGTCTGACGGCCATTCTTGTGTTTTCCATATTTGCTGGCATATGGCATGCATCACCTTGACAGCATCATCTTTTAAGATTTTAAACAGTTCAGCTGGGATCCCGTCATCTCCTGCTGCCTTGTTGTTAGCAATGCTTCTTAAGGCCCATTCAACCTCACTCCTCAGGATGTCTGGTTCTAATTCTTTCACCACACCGTCAAAACTATCCTCCATATTATTATCCTTCCTATACAGATCTTCTGTATAGTCTCGCCACCTTCTCTTGATCTCTTCAGCTTCTGTTAGGTCCCTGCCATCTTTGTTTCTTATCATACCAATTTTTGCCTGAAATTTACCTCCAATGTTTCTAATTTTCTGGAAGAGGTCTCGTTCTTCCTATTCTGTTGTCTTCTTCCACTTCCATGCATTGCTTATTTAAAAATAGTTCCTTATCTCTTCTGGCTAACCTCTGGAATTGCGCATTTAACTGGGCATATCTCCCCTTATCCCTGTTTCCTTTTGCTTTCCTCCTTTCTTGGGCTACTTCCCGTGTCTCAGCAGACAACCATTTTGCCTTCTTGGTTTTCTTTTTCTTTGGGACGTACTTTGTTGCCGCCTCCTGAACATGTCTCGGACTTCTGTCCATAGTTCTTCTGGGACTCTGTTTACTAAATCTAGTCCTTCAAATCTGTTCTTCACTTCCACTGTATATTCGCTAGGAATGTTAGTGAGATCATATCTAACTGGTCTGTGTATTTTCCCTGATCTCTTTAGTTTTATTCTAAATTGAGCAATAAGAAGTTTGTGATCTGAGCTACAGTCAGCCCCAGGTCTTGTTTTCACCGACTGGATGGATGTCCGCCACCTTTGGCTGCAAAGGATGTAGTCAATCTGATTTCGGTGTTGACCGTCTGGTGAGGTCCATGTGTAAAGCCGTCTTTTAGGTTGTTGGAAGAGAGTATTCGTTATACACAGAGAGTTTTCCTGGCAAAATTCTATCAGCCTGCGTCCCGCTTCATTTTGTTCTCCCAGACCATGCTTGCCTGTGATCCCAGTTGTCATTTGACTTCCCACCTTGGCATTCCAGTCTCCTGTAATGAAAATAATGTCTCTTTTTGGTGTATTATCCAGTAGGTCCTGCAGATCCTCATAGAACTGATCTACTTCTGCTTCTTCAGCAGCTGTGGTTGGGCGTATATTTGGATCACTGTAATGTTGAAAGGCTTTCCTTGCACTCGAATTGAGATCATTCTGTCATTTTTTGGGTTGTATCCAAGCACCGCTTTAGCGAATTTCTTATTAATTATGAAGGCTACTCCATTTCTTCGATGTTCCTCTTGTCCGCAGTAGTAGATCTGGTGGTCATCTGATGTGAAGTGGCCAATTCCAGTCCACTTCAGTTCGCTGACCCCCAGAATGTCTATCTTTAGTCTTGACATCTCGCCAATAACAACATCCAATTTGCCCTGGCTCATAGATCTTACATTCCAGGTTCCTATGGTGTGTTGATCTTTAGAGCATCGGATTCGTCGTTCACCTCCAGTACCGTCGGCCGCTAGCCTTCCTTTCGGCTTTGAGCTAGCTGCGTCATCCCATCTGGGGCTAGTTGAACTTATCCTCTGCTCCTCCCCAGTAGCATTTTGGCCATCTTCCGACCTGGGAGTCCCATCTTCCAATGGCATACCGACATATCTCTAGGTTTGTACTGGTCCATTTAGTTTTCTTGGCAAGGATACTGGAGTGGTTTGCCATTGCCTTCCCCAGGGATCACGCTTGGTCTGACCTCTCTGCCACAACCGTCTCGTCTTGGGTGTCCCTTCACGGTTTCGCTCATGACATCATTGAGGTGCTCAAGCTCCAGCGCCCCGACAAGGCGGTGATCCTTTGCTGGAGTCACTGTATCACTGTATCACAACTTATAGGTCACTGTATCACAACTTATTCATGTCTAATGATGAGGAATACAGGAGCTATAGTCCAGCATCCGGAGGGCCACATAAATGACATGGTGGGTCGGATTTGGCTTGCAGGGCTTGAGTTTGACATGTATAATATAGACCATGCAGGACTAATGTCCAGTTTCAATATCCAATCCATTTCATTTTAAAGCAGAGTTCTCTCATTCTGGGATAAACGTTTCTCAAGCACACGAAAGCACAAATTCTTAAAGAACTGATCATATTCCAGAAAATGGTCAACCAAAAAGGAAAAGTTAATCTTTCATTCTTTATATTGCTAAGGTGTTCCCCTATTCAGTCTTTAAGAAGCTAGATATTTTTTCTATATGTGATTTGTTACAGGGAAACATAATAGCAGGAATCACACATAGAATGTTACAAGTTGAAAAGTGTTTCAAATTCCCATTATGATTATCATAGTCTGTTTTAAATAAAGGTTATATATGTTGAACCATTACAAAGCAAATACGTTACAGTTTTAGACCTGGGGACACTTACATATTTTGGAGTATTTCATATTTTGAAACACTGGATAAGGAATGTTCAACTTGTACTACTCTGCAATTTTGAGGTCAAGTTATCATACGTCAAACTGAAATGTATTGTGTAATTGTCCTCCCAGCTTTAAAAAACATGTTTTCTGTGCAGCCTTGTTGATGCTGTAGTTACAGACTCTGGACAGTCTTCACCCTGGAAATGACAGCTGCGTGACTTGAGAACAGGGCAGAACTTAGTCAGGGTCTGTAATCAACAACTGTTTTGAAAGGACTGCACCAATACTACGAAAACTTCCAAGTCTGATTTGCCTTTTCATGAACATTGCAATTAGTGCCAAACAACAGTTGTTGCTGTTGCTACCTGTTTACTTGCTTGACTTAAGCTAATGAAAAATTGGGGGGGGGGGGACACAAACAAAACCCAAGAATGTGAAGTAGAAATCTGCAAGTGTCTCATGCTTTCCTTTTCAGAAATTATTTGGATTACTCACAAAGACACTGGACAAATGGCCACTAGGCAAATAATCAAGAAATGAACCCATTTAGAGAGGTACAAATGCCCATATTCTGAGAATGTGTTCCTGTTTCAATGCATGGTATTTTCAAAAGTCATTTTTCTCTTTTTAACTCCACAAGGAATGATTGATAGTTACCAGTAGAATTTTATTTTATAAATAGATGTGTCATAAAAGTTATTTTTGTGGTGTTGAAGGCTTTCATGGCCTGTTTCACTGAGTTGCTGTGAGTTTTCCAGGCTGTATGGCTATGTTCCAGAAACATTCTTTCCTGACGTTTCGCCTGTATCTATGGCAGGCATCCTCAGATGTTGTGAAGTCTGTTGGAAACTAGGCAAATGAGGTTTATATGTCTGTAGAATGTCCAGGGTGGGAGAAAGAACTCTTGTCTGCTTGAGGCAAGTATGGATGTCGCAACTGATCACCTTAATTAGCATTTAATGGCCTTGCAGCTTCAAAGCCTGGCTGGTTGCTGCCTGGGTAAATTCTTTGTTGGGAAGTGTTAGCTGGCCCTGTTTGATCATTGTCTGGAATTCCCCAGTTTTTTGAGTGTTGCTCTTTATTTCCTGTCCTGATGTTAGGGTTTTTATATACTGGTAGCCAGATTTTGTTTATTTTCATGCTTTTTTCCTTTCTGTTGAAATTGTCTACAAAGTTATTTTTAGTTGTGTCAATAAACTAAAACTAATAGTTTTAACAATGAATTGTACCAATATTTGTGAAAGACATTGATCAGAAAAACACTTTTCATAATTTCCAATAAAGTCTATGGGAAGTGGAATGTGTTTATTATTCACTGATCTTACTTTATTTGCATTCATATAATCCTGCTATGAATTCCCTGGACTCTGCTGCTTATACCAGATATGAGCAAACAACTGAGAGTCTTTAGTATTGAAAATATTGCATCAATACACCAACTTATTTGAATAATGTTACAGTTTTGCTGTCAGGCCTACTAACATGTGATACATGTTACAAAACAGCACGACAATGTTCTTGGTCATTTCTGTTTATTACTTTTTTCTATTAGCAATTGTTCCTACTCCCAGCATTTGGATTATGGGGCAGTGGGAAAGGGCAGCTACACTGTTTGTTCCAAAATACTTCCTATTTTAGCAGACATCATTATGGTCTAAAATACCAAGTATTTCAACATGTTTAATTTTAAAAGTGCTCCCTCTTTTCCTTTTCTTTGTCACAGCCACAGAAGGGGAATGTCCCACAGCAAGGCTGCAACCATGGTTTCCACACCACACTATAGAAAGACAGCTGCTGTGGGACAGGAGTGAGGGTCCTCTGGTGCTCCTCCACGGCTTTCTCTATTCTTTTCAAAACCATGTGGAATAGCGGCTCAGTATCAGGTGACAAAGGGACTGCCTCTGATGGGTCTCTTGAAAGATCGAAAAGCAAAGGAGGACTGTGATGTTCTACACGTTCTCCAGAACAAGGACAAAATCTAATGTCATAGCAACCACCAGATCCTTTGGGTTGAAAAATGGGTGTCACATAATGGGCCTTCCACACATTTCCACCTGGTTGGAAAGAAACCACATGGTTAAGAGAGGCCAACTATGTAAAATGGGATGGGTTTCTACTCAGTAAAACAATCTGTATAGCTCTGGTATAGCTAACAAATACATAAAATCATATTAACAGAGTAGGAAGAGACTACAATCCGCCCATCCCGCAGAAGTAGACAAAACACTCCACTTTGGTTTCCATCAACATAGCTTCTGTGTTCTATGCTTTAAAACACATAGTTCTTTATTGACCTTCATTTGCAATCTTACTCTATTTCTTTAAAATTAATTTTGTACATCACTTTTGTGTAGGAATGTAAACCACAATTACGTCATTCCCACACTCAGGGATGAAAAGTTTCATAAGTTTTCTTCCTGCTTTGTTGAGACGACAAGAGGGTTTTGCACATTTCCAACAGCCAATTGTATTTTGGTAAACAAAATATTTTGGGAATTGCTTTTGAAAAATTTCTGAAGGTTTGTGCATGAGTGTGCAAAGATGTGTGTGTGTGAAATTCAATGATTTTAACTAAGAAACACTATGTTTTTGCACAAAACAAAACATTACATAATTAAAAAAAGGCACAGAAAAATTTCACAGTGATTGATTTTTCCCAATACTTATTGCAAGAGGAGATTTTATGAATGCCTTACATTCCCACTTCTGTATCTTTATCATGCTCTAGTTAGTATAATTGGAACCAGGGAATGTAACACCCCCAACTGTTCACAGCAGAGCTTCCATTTTCCCTCCTGTTCCTTTTATCTTGGACCATGCTTAGACTTCATTTTATCTATCATACTTTTTTCTTATATTATACTTACATTTCTGTATAATGTAAGTAGAACTTCATCTTAATGCATGAAAAACAAATCTTTCTACATTTCCTAATGAAGTCTCAAATCAAGACACAGGAGATGGGATAAAAAAGCGTGGAGCTATCTCACATACCAGCCAAGGAGAAAGGGAGAAACCACTGTTATCAATGCTGAGGCATTCTTCAGAGTAAACAAGAGATTCTGGAATAATGACCCATTTACTAATCATGGCCAGGGTATTCTACCCTTATTCTGAAGAGCATACTGTGGTATACCTGTAGAAATTTACACAATAAATCTGGGATTATTGTGTAAATTTAAGAGAGACTTTGAGTAATTTCTGTCTGGAAAGCTGTGGTTCTCTTAATTATTTTTGAGGGATGTGGGGAGCACTTAGAACCACAGAGTTGGAAGAGACCACATGGGCCATCTGGTCCAACCCCCTTCCATGCAGGAAAAGCACAACCAAAGCACTTATACTTACTGTCCTTCTGGTGCCACCGCACGGCATGTAAAAGTATTCCGCAGTAGTGAAACATGAATTCATGCTCTGAGTGCTGAACCAATCCCTGCAGTAAAGGCATCAAATCCCGACCATCAATTATCCTGAAAGCCAAAGAGACAGACAGTTGGGAAAGTGATCTTATATGGCGAGTATATCCCTAACTCTATATTTTAACTTGAAAAGTTGGGAGGTGTTCTTATACGCCCAGTCATTTTGTACGGTATATATTTTTCATTTTAAAAGAGAGAAAAAAGCATTCTCTTCTCCCTAAGGTCTGAGGGTTGTACTGGGAAATGCAGAAAGCATAATATTTCGGTTTATCCTTTTCCTTGTTCTCCTCACTCTCCAAATTTCCCTTTAATTTACACCTATTCAAGAAGAAAATCACTATACTAGTCCCAGGGCTTTGGAAAAGTATTAAACTTCAGGTTCAAAGGAGTCTAGATACCAAATCTTGCTTAAACTTTCGGAAAATATTAGCCATTTTCATGAAACAATATCTAAACAATTGTCAATTGTTGTGCAACATTGTCAATTTGGAACTGACTTCAACAGTATTCTTACCTGTCCTGAGGTACTGTTCCACCAGCTAGATTTACTAACGTGGGGAAAACATCCATTAAGCTTGTAGGTTCATCAATAACCTTTTGCTTGGGGAGCACTCCCATCCATCTGAATAATCCAGGGACACGGATTCCTCCTTCCCAGCCAGCCATGGCCTTTCCACCTAGAGTTATCATACAACATTAATCTATGTCCATGTCCAGAATGTCATATGACTAGTTTTCCAGAAGATATGTAGATCCCCTTTCATTTTTTATATAAAACATTTTATTTTACATCTCATCGGTATACATCTACAACACAATGAAGCATTAACATACATTGGATTAGTTCTCTGTACATTATTTTGAGCGTGCACTGAACACAGAAGTGATCTAGATAGATAGAGAGTGCTATGAATAAAAGAAAGGGAGAAAGAGCAAAAGAGAAAGAGACTCTACTATCAATTCATCACTGGGAATTTGAATGTTCCATTTTTAAATTTAGTATTTCACTTAATATGATTACCTCACTCATTGTCCTTTAAGGGAAAAAATTAATCTTCTGAAGTGACTCACAAAATACAATAATCAGAATGATAAAACCACCAAATATTTCTACCAAGAAATACTGCAGGAATTAAATAGGAACTGTTCTTGTTTATTTATTTACTGCATTTCTATACTGCTCTCTCTCACCCCAAGGGGGACTAAGAGCGGTGTACTGTTCTTGCTGTTTCAGAATAAGTTAGAAAGTAGTACAATGCATCTCAAACAGCGGGAGCATCTGTAAAAGCTATACCAGCATGTTCATGCTATGTTAGCACAAGTGGTGCAGAAGGCACCCAGCCCCAAATAACAGTTTAGCAGATATGGTTGGTACTAACTGCAAGATGCAGCACTTTTGTCACCTAGTATTCTGATGATTTTCATTAGAAAACTAGTATGAGTATTTTCCAGATCAGAATCCTGTGCTTTTTCACCAAAGTCACAATAACAATGCCACACAGGCTTAACCACTATACATGTAATTCATCCAAAGATTCAATATAAAGGAGAAGAATTAATAGTTATCAGCATAATTGATAGGATGCATCACCTAGCAGATTTCTAAGGGACATGGGATAATCCTCCATCATTAATTTATGGAATCAACCCATCACGTATGAAGTGAACATTGGGATGCTGCTCCTAATCCACATGGCCTGTTCAGGAGGAATTGGAAGCAATGGGGTATTGGCAATTGCATAAAAGTGATCAGTAGAAGGAGCAATGAGCAGTAGACAATCCCTGGAGTTTTCCTCTTTGCAATCATTCCATAATACTTAGGGCTTTTGTCTCCTCTGACTTATGGTATCATTTTTCTTTTCTTTGAGAAGTATCTGTTCCTTTTTTTTGTCTCTGAAGGGCGCAACTATGGTTTTTGGCTTGCTCCAACATATCAGAGACAAATTTAAGACTTTTTTGTATCCAAATACCTTTAGTATTTGAGCCAATGAATATAAGTGATATTTTTCCTTTATTACCATGTCTTACTACAACATTCTGAGTTTTAACCTAAGTATCCTGGTTTTAGCACAAGGCCAACTGCACTGGTTTATCACATTCTTGTGCATTCTCACGTTGTTTCTGACTTATAGTGACCCCAAGGAAAATCTATCCTGTGATGTTCTTGGCAAGATGTATTTGGGGTGTGTGTGTGATCTTTATTTATTTATTTATTTATTTATTTATTTATTTACCGCCTTTCTCGCCCCTGGGGGGGACTCAAAGCAGTTATCTTTTTCCTCTGAGTATGAGAGAATGTGTCTTGCCCAAGGTCAACCAGTGTGTTTCTATGGCTGAACAGGGATTTTATTTCTGTTCTCCAAGAAGGTCAATTCTGGATTGTCCAATACATCCAGAATTCTTCCTGAAACCAAAAGTGTTAGTGTTGCCAAAGCAGAAGAGCTGGAACATTCCCTTACACCAGACTTTTTGATATATCCTGAGCTGTTTTTATATATAAGTAATCACTCCATTAAACTCTAGATAATATAAATAATGAATATGTGCAAGATGGACAGTTGATGGTATCAAAGTTTGTCAAGAGATCTACCAAAATAAGAGTCACACTCATCTATTCTTCTCTTCTTTTTTCTTTTCTCTTCTCACTTAATATGTTCCAGCTTTATACCTTACTTTCAGATCATCAATTTAAACATCTATTATGAGGATTCCTTACAATCAAATAATTTCGGTTACTTTCTCCATATTTAATCCATTCATGCCGGAGTGTTGTATGAACAGCTGGTGCCGCTTTTGCTCAGGTTTTTTTTTTTTGTTATTTCAGTATTTCAAAGGGTTTTTGATATCCTGTGGGATCCAATGGATTTTTAGAATGCAAAATAGAAGAATTTAGGAACATTACCTTTATAAATGCCATTCCAACCACCCCACTGGGCATTTCTTTCTTTAGCCTCTAAGTGTCCACCATGATCAGAGGCAAAATATACCAGTGTGCTGTTTGTCAAGTTGTTGTTGTCCAATACATCCAGAATTCTTCCTGAAACCAAAAGTATTAGTGTTGCCAAAGCAGAAGAGCTGGAACATCCCTTTACACCTGACTTTTTTATATATTCTGAGCTGATTTTATATATAAGCAATCAACTACTACACATACCCATATACTTCAAATTTAGATCAGATAATTTTTAAAAACTTTTTCATTCTATGAATCCCCCAGGAATGTAAAGCTGTGGAATAAGGCAAAAATAAAAAACTGCAAATGAACCAAGGGTCCAATTTTGGACTCTAGGAACTCACTGGGGGCTGGACAAACTACCAAAATATGACAATAGGAGAGGGGGAGAGAGAAAACGAAATGGTGAGAAGTCGAGTTCTGTTTTTGAAAAATGGATATTTTACAATGTTATGCAAATGACAGAAAGATGAGTCAGGTCCCAGGAAAGCTATTTATTTGGTGAAAAAAGAGCCGTCTAAGGACTCTGGGGAATTTAATGATGTTAAAATATCCAAACGAATGCCCAAATCTATGGATGCAGCATATTTTGATTCCAGTAAGGCCTTTGACAAGGTTTACCATCACATTATCACAAAGAAGCAAATAAAATGTGGACTGGACAATGCTACTATTAGGTGGATTAGGAATTGTTTGCCAGCTGAACCCAAAGGGTTCTTGTTCATCCTGGAGAGAAGTGTGGCTCTATAAGGGTCTGTTCTGGGCTCAGAGCTATTCATCTTTAATACAATGATTTGGACAATGGAATAGAAGGCAGGCTTATTAAATCTGGAGATGAAACCAAATTGGGAAGGATATCTAATGCCCTTGAGGACAGAATCAGAATCCAAAATGACTGTAACAAATTGGAGATCTGGGCAAAACTAACAAAATGAATTTAAACACGAAGAAATGCACGGTCCTACATAGAATCATAGAGTTGGGAGAGACCTCGTGAGCCATCCAGTCCAACAGCTTAATGTAAACTTCTAATCAATTTAAGTCTCTATATATTACTTGCGTTGTATAGTAGGCTTGCTTAGTCGTGTGGTACATAATCCACGAATAACACAATCCTGAACACATTTACTTGAGATTTATTTCCCCATTAGATTGTAAATCCAGTTACACTTCCCCACACACTCCCTTAGAATGAATGAAGACAGCACAATGGATCAGGGAGAGAGGAGTTTTTCATTTTTGATCCAGAGCTAAAGATCTAACAAATTCCTTACATAAAGAGCAATGACAGGAAAGGACTACATACCACTAATGTTAAGATCCCCTCATGATTAGAATATGTGAGTGAAAAGTAACAGAAGGAAAACCATGATTGAGAACCTGTCTAGATGTTTGAGATATCAATAATCAGGACATTCTTAATTAATGGTCTCATGTACAGTATTAAGATCTACTTACCTATCATAAAATCCATCTCTTCTACATTATCACCATACAGACCATGTTTGCTCTTGCCAATGAATTTTTCTGTGGTAACCAATGATGTGTGAACGTGCAAGAAAGAAACAAATAGGAGGAATGGCCCTTCTTTGTTTCTAAAAACAACCATCATATGTTGCAATTAATAAGTGACCAAGGGTTAAAACACATGTATACATAATTTTCTAATATTTTTTCTCAATGCTTTTTAAAGTATACATACCAATAGTCACTGGGGCATCATAGCATTCCACTATAAGCTCTGTCTCATGCTACCCTAAATTTTGAAAATATTTTTTTCCAGATGAGAAGACAAATTCAGCTCAAACATTTGTGATTAAAATGGTAATTTTATATAAAATACCATAGGTAAAGGTTTCCCCTTGACATTAAGTCTAGTCGAGTCCGATTCTGGGGGGTGGTGCTCATGTAAGTTTCTTAGCCAAAGAGCCAGCATTGTTCGTAGATGCCTCCAAGGTCATGTGGCCAGAATAACTGCATGGTGCGAGGTTACCTTCCCACCAAAGCTATACCTATTGATCTACTCACATTTGCATGTTTTCAAACTGCCAGATTGGCAGAAGCTGGGCCTAACAGCGGGAGATCACCCCGCTCCCCAAATTCGAACAGCCAACCTTTCGGTCAGCAAGTTCAGCAGCTCAGTGGTTTAACCTGCTGCGCCCCAAGGGCCCCCTATAAAATACTGTCTAGTTATTCATTTCAGCAAGTGGCTTTTATCTTTGGAACTTAAATTTCTGAGATTTTTATATTCATCAGTGTATATAAAACTGCCATCCTTTTTGTTTAAGGTAACCATTCAGGAGATTGAAAACTGAGACGACTTGCTCCCATCTTTGTTGTGTACCACAATAGTCTATGCATTTTAACAATCATCAAGATGGCTATTTCCTTTCCTCTCACACATTTACAGATAATGCTCATGCAATGATTTTTCTTACCTTTCAACAAAAGACATGGCCTCCTTTAGCATGAGGGGAGCTGCTCTCTCTACCTTCATTGGCTGCTCTGTAATTTCATAATTTCTCATCATGATACAGTTCCAGTATCTTATGAATCCATAACTTGAGAACCAGGAAATAAAGAATAAGGAACCAAACAAAGTGAGAAGGAAGATAAATTTCCAGCTGATGGACATCAGGTGAGCCAGTTTTGCTGCTATAAGAGTGAGGACAGCAAGAGCAATCATCTGCGTGTAAGACCAGAGCTTTATCCGCAGGGCCATATTCATCTCTGGAGGATCGGTCACGCGACAGTCACCCATGGGTGAAAATGGCATTCCATAATAAAAATCAAATCCATGATTTAAAGGGTGATGGCAGTGGTCATTACGATATTTGCAGTTCACACCTTGATGCCATTTTCCTGAAAGACAGAGTTGAAAGTTGTTTTCAAAGGAGCAGATTTTTTAAAGTGTTCCAGAAGAATAACACAAAGTCTTCTAGCATATTCAAGATTAGAACACATATATTTAGTATGTGTTTTGTGGAATGCAATTCACATATTCATGTATATGGAATACAATATTAGGGCTTCAGGTATGCATGTAGATAATACATGGTGTTTCAGGTATATACACACATAACACACAATAGAGGTTGGGGTCAGAGCAAAACTGAATACAGAAAATGACAGTTATATACTGGCATAAGTAAAGTAACTGAATTGGAAGGAAAGATCTTGGATTTATTACAAGAACTGTTGGATTTTTAATATTGTCAATGTTGGATTTATTTAAAAACCTGTTTCTAAGTTTCTGAACTCATTTTGAACATAAAATATTCCCTTCTGCCCAGTATCTAGCCACACAATATATCAGAAACTTTCTCTCTTATATATCTTTTTTTGTTCCTGACTGTTTGCTTTTGGATAATTTAAGGTTGCCTTTCACAAACTCTCAGTACTTCTCAATAAAATTATATCATAAAAAGCTACACATTTAGCATAAAAAACAGAACCAAGTCTGCCCCAAAATCATTCAGTAGATATGAGAATCAAATCAAATTGTGATGTGTTGTCGGAATCACTGGGTTGCTGTGAGCTGTATGGCCATGTTCCAGAAGCATTCTCTCCTGATGTTTTGCCCACATCTATTTTTTTTCATGTCAGAAGCAACTTGAGAAACTGCGAGTAACTTCTGGTGTGAGAGATTTGGCCGTCTGCAAGGACGTTGCCCAGGGGACACCCAGATTATTGATGTTTTACCATCCTGTGGGAGGCTTTTCTCATGTCCTTGAACGAGAAGCTAAAGCTTGAAAGACAGGAGCTCACCCTGCTCCCTGGAATTATATCATGTCGGTTGACCAGTCCTGCTGGCACAAGGGTTTAACCCATTGCGCCCCCTGCCCACATCCATGGCAGCCATCCTCAGAGGTTGTGAGGTTTGTTGGAAACTAGGCAAGTGGGGTTTATATATCTTTGGAATGTCCAGGGTGGGAGAAAGAACTCTTGTCTGTTGGAGGCAAGTGTGAATGTTGCCATTGTCCACCTTGATTTGCACTGAATTAGCACTTGATTAGCTTCGAAGCCTGGTTGCTTCCTGCCTCGGGGAATCCTTTGTTAGGAGGTGTGAACTGACCCTGATTGTTTCTTGTCTGGAATCTCCTTTTTACTGACTGTTGTTTTTTATTTACTGTCTTGATTTTAGAATTTTTTAATACTGGTAGCCAGATTTTGTGTATTTTCTCTTCTCCTTTCTATTGAAATTGTCCACATGCTTGTGGATTTCAATGGGAGATACTAAAATGAAGACCCTACCTCAAACGTGAACTGAACATGGTACAGAAATGGTGGTGTGAGACAACAACCACAACATACTGTAATGAGCAAGATAATCATGCAAGCATAAGGATTCTTTTTGGTACTCTTAGTGGGAGTAGGTGAGAGACAGTAGGGCAGTCGATTTGCTTTGGGTTTTAATCCAAATTTTAATGGAGCTATTCAAAATGCTAACACTGTCTGGAGAACGGGTTTAGCACTTGGATAACTTTAGGTTCAGGCTTAAACCTGGAGTAGATTCCTCATTTCAGGGATATGATGTTGGACACTTCTTGCCTCTGGAATACTAATTCTCAACATGCTGAAGAGATCAAAAGCGGGGGGGGGGGGGGGGGGGGGGGGGGGGGGTGCAATTCCTTCTCTCCCCCTCCTCTTTTCCTGTCTCCTCAGTATGTTGGATATCATCATTCCAAGCACCAAGAGGCGTCTGATGCCATTTTGGTGTTTGGAGGGCATTCCTAAATTACAGTATATTCTGGCGTATAAGACTACTTTTTAACCCAAGAAAATCTTCTCAAAAGTCAGGGGTCGTCTTATATGCGGGTGTAGTCTTATGCATGGGAGTCATCTTAACTCTATATTTTAACTGGAAAAGTTGGGGGTCGTCTTATACGCCCAGTCGTCTTATATGCCGGAATATACGGTATGTTAGTGAAGGTAAGATATGGTAGGCAGATTAGTGATAGTGAACCAGTTTTGGCACTGCACCCCCCCCCCCCCCCAGCAGCTGCCATGCAGTATGCCATGTAGCTCCTCAACCGACTCTGGAGCTGCCATTGTAGCTAGCTACTACTGATGTTGATCTGGAGTAGCTCACTCCAGATCAGCATCAGGGTAATTAGTTTGTGAAGATGCACTCACAATTGGAAACACTTACATTGGGGAAAACTGAAATTGAAGGGATTTTACTAAAAGAACTGAATGGGTAAAGTGAGGGGAGGAGGGAGTGACAGGGTGAAGGAGTTGGAAAAAGATAGCTGTTGCTAGCACAGTGGGAGATTAAAAATGTTGAAAAGGTTCAGAGTTTAGAATGACCTGGAGACAAAGGAGGGGGAGGCAGGAAGGGGAAAAAATAATTGTTTTGGAAAACAGAGGAACACAGCTGCTGCAAGTGAAGGACAGAGCTAGGAGGGGGAAGTGAGAAGAAGGATAGGAGAAAAGTTTGATTTGTGTGTGTGCATGTTGATTCTGCTCTGGTCAACTATAAAACACATGATGCAGATCAGTCTAGGGTGGTGCTCCTTCTATTGCACACCCCTTAGTGCTTCTCTGCAGATTAAAGCTATTGTATTTTAAAATGTCCTCATCTTTGGTGTCTGATTGGAAGAGATACAGAGGGTTTAGGGGCACAGAGCCTCAATAAAAACAATGGGACCTTTGGCTCTCAATAGGAAACCTAGGTAGTAATATTTTGCACCAGCTATAGTCTCCAGGTAACACCAGGCATTGTGATGTAGTGGTTGGAGTGTTGAAATGGGCCTTTGAAAGACTATGATCCAAATCCCCATTTAGCCATAGGAACACAGTGTCTGATTTCAGACAAGTAATATTCTCTCAGCTTTAGGAGAAGGCAATGCAAAATTTCCTCTAAATCAGCCTTGTCAAGAAAACCCTGTGATAGGAATACCAAAAGCACTAGTTGACTTAAGGATACACAGCCACTACCACCATGACAATTTTCAAAGTTTTTCAAAGACAATACTTTTGTTCTTGTTTTAGAAGTTGCTGCCAAAGCTAGGTTGGCAGCAACTTCTATTGTTTTAAAAATAGAAATGAATTGTTTTAAAAATAGAAATGAAGCCATTATAATGAAAGTCCTTCCCTCTTCAATGCCTCAAATCTTTGGTTAGAGTTAAATTGTCTGGAATAATCTTACCAATCAAACCAGTAGTATAGCCTTGCTTCTGTAATATTTTGGCAAAAGTTGTCTCATTTGTAGGAAGACCACCTGAACCACCAAGCCATTGAAAAACACGAAACACATCTGTATAATCCATACCTGAAATTTAAACATGAAAAGAACTAGGACTGTGAACATAAGTTAGTCAACCAACTAAAGTTCTAACAGCAAGGTTCAAACTATGGTATTTCTTTGGTCCTAAACAGCAGAAAGCAAATGAATATGTGATGCAGGCTCACACCAGCCAATACAAGGTGAGACAATTGCCTCAGCTCCTGATGTTGGGATCTGACAGCAAGGGCTTAGTAAAAATAGCTGTGTGCTATATGCCCTGCTATCTGAGCATCTTCTAAGTGGCCTTGCTGGCTTTGGGTGTTGTGGGGGACACCATCATGCAGTGTTGCAAAAAAAATACTCATCAACTTGTCAGTTGGCTTGCTCATTTTTAGACTAAGGCAGCAGCATAGTTTAGTTTATCCCTGATATTAGGCTATACTTTGTGAAACCTGAATAGGGACAATTTTCTTAACTGGAAGGCTGAAACATTCATACATTATTGCAAAATATTCTCAATAAATTCAAATAAACTTCTACTTATCTAATCCAGCCCTTATCCTAATCAAACGTATCTTTAAAAGTTCAAAAGTCCAAGGGCCCTTCCACATAGCCCTATATCCTAGAACATCAAGGCAGAAAAACTTGCTTTGAACTGGGTTATCTAAGTCCATGCTGCTATTTATTCCTATTAAAAGCAGATAATGTGGGATTTTCTGCCTTGATATTCTGGGATATAGAGCTGTGTGGAAGGGTCCCAAGAAAAATATCAACTTCATTTGTAACTGAAGACTGTGGTCTTAAATCCAGTTGTTAATTCTAACTAGAGAAGTCCTACTAAAGCAATGGAAGATACGTACATGTTTATATATCAAGGTCTCATCAATTGAGGTCTACTGTTGTTGGAACAAAATAGTTAGACTTAGTCAAGATTATATTGCCAAAACAAACCTGATCTAATGGGATATCTGCCAGTCAGAAAAGCAGCTCTGCTTGGAGAACAGAGAGGAGCTGCAGAAATATGCTGAGTAAGTTTGACTCCTTCCTTTGCTAGCCGATCAATACTAGGTGTCCTGTGAAAAACAACAACAGCACAGTTGGAGACAAATAGTTGGAAATCAAACAGGGGATGTTTCGTTAAGCTTGGAAGCTAACTGGGAATAGGGATCCAGCCTGTGTTAGATGGGGTCACATTTCCCCTGAAAACGCAGGTTTGCAGTTTGGGGCTACTCCCGGATTCAGCTCTGAACCTGAAGGCCCAGGTATTAGCAATGGCCGGGAGTACTTTTGTACAATTAAAGCTAGAGTTACAACTGCGCTTGTTCCTGGAGAAGTTGGATCTGGCCATGATGCAAAAAATTGGAAATACGTGAAAAATCGGATAAGAACATACGAATTTCATTTTCCAAGTGAGTTTTGAACCATGCATGAAAGGTATGGGGTGGGGGGGAATTCCGAATTTGAACCACTTACCTTTCCCCCCCGGAAATATTCTATAATGTTCAGATGTCTCCCAAGGTTATTTTAATTTTCGCAACCATTAAGCAACTTTGGTAAAGGCAAGGGAATTTTTAAAGTCTCATGTTTTCCACCAGCGATGCAAGGAGGGAAGCGGTGGGTGTGGTTAATCACAGCCATTGTAAGTGTAGTTTGGGAAGCCCAGGCCGCCAATGATAGAGATTGCAAAAGGCCCTGCTGTAAAACTGCATTTCCCACAATGCGTGCATGCTCAGTAGCCAAAATGGCGGAAGGACCCAAAAATAGTTGTCTGTAGCAGTCTTCGTTGAAATATAAAATAAACTGATTGAATCTACAAAGGAGTCTAAAGAAGGCAGCAAAGCAATAAGGAACTTTTGCAAAGCCAAGAGAACATAAACTGCTTTAAAAATTAATCATTTTACTTTGGCCTGATTGCCATGAACAAAGCACTGGAGTAGCCAGCCATAGCCAGCCAGCCAGCCCTTTACAGTCAGTAAGTAATGATAAAATAAAATGATGATTGCATCTGCAAATAGGAATAAACGGATGGATGTGTCTTGAGAGTCCCCCCCCCCCCAACTCAGTAGAGGAAGCAAATGGATGTCAGGAGAATTTGGATGGTGCCTTTCTGCCCAGAAGAAGGGGGTCAGTCTAGATATCCCTTAATGTGGTCTGTACTATGATTTCTGTTTTCCACCAATTTAACACAGTTTGTGCCACACAAACATAGTTACTGGTGTAGAACAACTACTTTCAAAGTAAAGACCACTCAATGAAACAGGAAATAACACTTTCAAACCAGGAGCACATTTTCTTTATTATTATTTTTTTAATAAAAACTTTGAAAATTGGCCAAAAATCCATAGATAAGTCAAAGGTGAGCTAAGTTTCATCAGGGTTAGCCTAAAAATGAGGGAGGGAGAATCCCCTGAAGTTTCCCCAGTTCCAGTGCTGTTTTCCCTACTGCACATGCGCATCCACATTAACTAATCAATTCGGAAGTTTTGGAAAATTCTGATCTTTCTGTTTGTTTGTTTTTTAAATCATAAGTGACTCTAGAACCCAACCACCACCAACCCCTACATTCAAAATGAGTTTTGAACCATTTTTTAATCAACCAAGCCTAGTACATATTCTTGTTACATCCCAGTTGGACTAGTGTAATGCACTCTACATGGCCCTGCCTTTGAAAAGATCTCAAAAACTTCAGTTGATTTTATTCAGTTGCCTCCTTGCACAACAATATTCAAAATACACATATTGGCAAACTGAGTTCAAAATGCCAAAATAGTTTACCCTCAATTAACTCAACAGTGGGAAAGGAAAAGATGGGTCAGAATTCAGGCTAAATTAGCGTGGAAAACTGAGAATACCAACCCCTTCCCAAAATACCCCAAAAGCAGAGTAAAAAAACAAAACAAAACAAAAGAACTTACCTCCATTAGAGGACTGCCTGAGCTCTTCTGGTGCGTACAAATGACACACCAAGATAAAGGGGGGGGGGGAGAGGAGGAAAATCACTCCTGTTCCCCCCCCCTTTCTCCTGGTGTGTCATTTGTACATGCAAGGAGAGCTCTGGCAGCTCTCTAATGGAGGCTGGGTAAGTTCTTTTTTTTTTTTTAACATAGATTTTGGGATCTTTTGGGGAGGGAGTTAGAGTGTCCGGGTGTTCTCCCAGAAAGTTCTGGGAGAGCATCTGGACACCCACTCCAGAAAGCTAATGCTCTTGGAATAATGAACTGTGTGGAAGCATTCTAAGTGGAAGTAGCAGTAAATTTCTATTAGTTGCTCTTCTAGAGAAGAGCTTCTTAAACCTGAGGTCTCCTAAATAGGGACCCATCCAAACAAGCCCCAAAAATGAATTAATTAAACACCTGGTAAGATCAGGATCTTAGGTAATATCTGGGTCTTACCAGGTGTGGGCTCTGTGTGGATTGAGCCCAGGGACTACATGATCTCAGGCCTAATCCACACATCCATCTTGATTTTTTGGACTTCAGGAGCACAAAAAATCAAGAGGACACTTACCCCTCCCATCAAACCCCAAAATAACCCCCCAAAAGTTTAAAAATACTTACCTTGATGCCATTATGTTCCTGACTGCAGGGGTGGAGGAATATAATGGTGCTCTGGGAAGTTTTTTTTTTTACTTTTTAGGGGTTATTTTGGGGGGCTCTGGAGTGGCTGCATGCCATTCTGATTGTTATCAGGATGGCATGTAGCCACCCTCCCCAGGAAAGCCCAAGTATTGTTGGGCTTGTAAGGACTCAAACCTTCACTGAAGCAGGTTTAGAGTCATGTCTGAAAGCACCCTAGATCTAGGAGTCGCAATGATTGCCTCTCCCTCACCCCTTCCTGCTGATGATTTTACTTCTATAAAAAAGACTGGAGTAGGTATGGAATATGCATAGAACTTTAAAGCCTGTGGCTGCCTCCTGCAGAATTTGGGGGTTTGTAGTTTAGTGAGATCCAGGACCTTTCTGACTGAGCAGTTTAACTCCTAACTCTTAAACTCCAACCCCAGAATTCTGCAGGAGACAGCACAAGATTGAAAGTGGGATGCAGGCAGGTGAGCAAAGTGGTGGGGAGCTCAGTAGTGGCAGGACAGGCATCTGGCTTTCCAGGAAAGCAGTCAACCAGGAAAGAGAGGTTCCTGGGATCCAACTCAATAAAAAGGAGAGGGGGCAGGGGAACTTTAAAAACAAGAAGTCAGTTGGAGGTGGGAATGGATTGGGGAGGGGGAGGAAAGGGAACCAGCAAAATATTGTTTCCTGTTGCTCCTAAGACTAGGACACAATGGAGCCATGGGTTCAAATTGCAGGAAAAGAGGTTCCACCTAAACATTAGAATGAATTGCCTGCTTGTTAGAGTTGATTGGAATATGGTTCCTTGAGTGTCTGTCCTGAAGCTTTTTAGGTAGAGACTGGGTAGCCGCCTGTTGGAAGGGCTTTGAGTGGGTTTTCCTTCATGCCAGAAATGGGATTGGACTGGATGGTTTTTGAGGTTTCTTCCAACTATAGGATTCTATGAGACTGGGATGAGAACAAGCGGGAGGTGGATATAGGCCCATTTCAGGCCGATGGTGCACTCTATAAGTTGGGACCTTTAAAATTGGAGGTATGGACCCTAAAACCCTCCATTGTGGCCAATTCAGAAGAAAAAAAAAGGAGAACCAATAAAATATATTCTGTCCTTGAGCCTGCAAAGCAAGCATGCCAGGATGACATGAAAAACACTGAAGATGCTCTGACTTGTAGTGTCAAATATTCAGATAAGATTTAATTCTGTATGTAAAAATAAACAAGCACATCCATCTCACTAGTATGCAAACTGGTTTTCATCTTTAATAAATAGTAAAATTATATATGTAGCAAAGAACTGTTTAAAAATAAAATTCTTTATTATTTATTATAAGTAAAAACTTGATTTGTATGTCTATTTTATATATTACCCAAAGTCATGCAAAATTTTCCCAATCAAGGTGGGGTCACAAGAGGAAAAAGTTTAAGAAGCCCTGTTCTAGAACATGTGCAAGAGGCATTGAGCCATCTTATTTAGAATGGCTGTCCTTATATTCTTAAAAGCCTTAGTTTGTACTTCAAATTTAATACAGTGTGAATATATGGAGCTTGTGTGCACTAATGTATATGAACAAAAACACTACTGACCTTCCCAATTATTTTGTGCAAAGAGTTATGGTAGAATACAGCACCTTTTTCTGAAGTTCTTTACCTGATTGTATCATTTCCATAGCAGCCAACATCTCCAATGCCAAGGTCATCAGCCAGGAAGATGACAATGCTGGGTTTGTAGCTGACTAAAGTGGCTTTAGCAATAGGAGGCATTAGCAGTAGGTGCAAGGTTAGAAGTAAACCTGAAGAAGTCCTAGTAGAAATATAATAGCCTTAATTTTTAGTACCCAATTCATCACATTCACAATATAATTTCATAGTTTTCTTCTTAACAAATAAAAATAGTAGCCATGTGGTCCTGAAGTCAAAACAAAATTCAGAATTCAGTATCACTTATTAGAGATTGATAAAACGGCACAGTTTTATGGAGGTTATCAAGAACTTTTAATCAATCATGAGACTATAAAATTAGGTAAGAAAACAGAACATTAAAAATCTGAGTCAGTGCTTTGGCTATTGTGTCTCTGTACTAGCAAGATAGAGATTACATACACAGAATGGACTGAAGTGTTATGGTTTTAGTTCAAACTTCAGTGATTTTATGGTTTCTTTCTGTCATCACTGACTAAAGAGCTAACTCTGTAATCCAGAAAACTGTTATTTGCCTTTAAAAAACACTTAGAGCTGAGCTATGAAATGAAATGGAAAAATAAAACTCTTTGCTTTGTTTAGGCAAGGGTAATTTCTCAAGCTGTCTGTGCAGAAAATCCTCTTTTCAATCATTTGTAGATCCATTTAGACAGACCTTCAGCAACAGAGCTGAAAAGATGTTGGAGTCTACTACTACTTGGATCCAATAGCATTGCACAAAGTAAAACAAAGGGATGATTCGGTATGGGGCTGCTTCAGCGGTTTCCTGTCTGCAGGAAGTTACACTTACCAAGAATGTGCCAGACAAGCCATGACTACTTTCAAGGACTGCCAAGTCATAAATCCAGCCAGTAAAGGACCTGCTACCAAACACAATATTAGAGATTTGGATAGCCATAAGCAGGAATTCCATTTCTATCAAGAAGACTCTTGGACTGCTAGGAATCCTTACAGTTTGGAACTTATTCTATGCAAAAACTGCACACAGTTATTTTTGTGTAGAAAAGACTATCACAGACTACATTCAGAATGAATAGTCTCAGAATACTGCGGATTTTCTTGAAGACCTTTTTGAAGCACATTGCTAAAATATAATTTTCTTAGAGAAGATAAAAACCCCTACCCTATTACTGTATATTTGCTTGGAGATTGATTCTTCTTTCTTTCTTCTCCTTCTTCTCCTTTCTCAAGGAGAATGGCTTCCTTCTGATGTTACTACTCTTCTTGTGAGCTACCCATAGAAATATTGTGTAGTTCTACTTCATTCCAGTTGTTGCAAGACTACATTTTTCCTCAGTTTTGATGAGGGTATTTTACTGTATTGTACAGTAAAGAATGTCCTTTTCTGAAGACAATGTCACCAAAGCCCAAAACCTGTCTAACTTGTGGATGCCAAAGAATTTATCATTCTTTCCTTATAGTACACCCCTTGGATTTTTGTTCATGTTTTCATTCATTTTCCATGGCAGTCCCAGTTTCCATTGTTTTGATTTTCCTAATTTTTCCTGTTTGTTTTCCGCACTTCACAAATTGTTTTCCAACTGCACATTTTGTGTGTGGCTGCACTTAAAATATTCTGAAAGTATTTCCTGAAGAAAAGGACAAGTTCAACTTCATATTTTGCAATTGCAAAATTGCACCCCTCTCTGTGGTTTTCTTTATTTATGGTTACTCAGTCTAAACGAAGTCCCAGTGATTTCCATGAGACTTACTATCAAGCATGTGCAAAGAGAATATTTTAAAAATAAATCATTTCCCCAATTCACTGAAGGCTCTTCTCCTACAAACACCAGCATTTGGGTAATACTATTCAGGCTACTGCTCTGTAGGGCAGAATATTTATTAATTTCTAAAGTGCAAGATTTGGGTGAGATATTCAACCTTCATCATGCTACCAAGCATTTATAATTTAATGACCATATGACAAGTGATATATTTTTGTTAATAAAAATGATGGGTCCTATAAAGTTAATCCCATGTGTTATTGGCACAATAAATCTCTTTTGGAGCTGAGCTTGATTTAAAAAAAACAAACTATCCGACGTGCAATTGTTTTTCTTCAAAATCTGTTTAGCACCATGGACTGCTCACGTAAAGTTCAAATCAAAATATAGAGTAGATCTATCATCCTGGTAATAGATTGTCATGTGATTAAAACCTAGAGTAGGTTAAAAACCACAATTTTTATCCTATTTTTCTCCCGATATAGTACCCTTAAGATAGCTAACAATAAATATAAAACAATACAAATTAAAACAATGTAAATGCATTGAAATATAAGTATTACGTTTTTAAAAAATTAAATACTTTGTGTCATTAAATATAAATTTTTAAAGTGCATTGAAAACTACAGTCACCCCAAAATCCCAATCACACCATTCCCAGTACCCACCTTTCATGAGTCCACAAATGCCTGATGGCAAATGAATATTTTCAAGTCAGTATGAGGCCATTGAGGTCTCTCTAGGAAGCGAACTCCAGAGTCTGGGAGGAGCCACCATGTCCAAGCCTCCACAATAAATAAATAAAAAAATAAATCACAAGTAGATTTAAATCAGTTGGACGAAGGGTTAAACTATATGATACAGACACAGTATATAGCTGACACAGTACGAACTGCTCAAATGCCATAGTCCATTTGAGGCTCTCACTACATAGTGGGTTTGTGTGTGTGTGTGTGTGTGTGTGTGTGTGTGTGTGTGTGTGTGTATGTGTGTGAGAGGTATGACTTGAGAAACTGCAAGTCACTTCTGGTGTGAGGGAATTGACCATTTACAAGGATGTTGCCCAGGGGATGCATGGATGCCCCCTGGGGAGAACTCATCTGCACTCTCTCTGAATTCAAATCTACAACCTGTCAGTCTTCAGACCTGCCAGCACAGGGGTTTAGCCCATTGTGCCACCAGGGACTCCTACATAATGGTGAACAACACATGATGTCATGTTGTGCAACACATTGGGACACCATGAGAATGGGGCAATTTTTCTGTCCAAATATAGGACACCTGTGACTTACTACTGTCCTAGATTACCAGGGCCCAGTAACTTTGTTGGGGGCCATTGGCCTTCTCTCCTTATAATATTCTTATGCAAAGGCACCTGTTTGACAAAATGCTATACTAGCATACACCCAAACCCTATATCTATGGGAATATGTTCGAAGAATGCCCTTGATACCTGTGAAGTCTTCACTTTCCCCCAAAGGCTTGGGCGTGCCATCACAATTCCTGAAACTGAGGATATTAGCAAACCCTATATTTTGCTAATAATTGCACTGGAGGACATAGAGAGGCCCACAAACACTTCTGGGGGAGGAGGGGTTATTTATGAAGCATGGATAAGCAAAACTACGAATATCGGATCCATAGATACTGTATTTCACATTCTGATCATTGCACAGTGGCCATTCTACTCACTGTGTTTATGCAATAATACCAATGGCACAGGTTTGATAATGATCAGCTGCTGGAAATAGGCTGCTGTTGTGAACTGCAGAACTCTAAATTGCTTTACGAAATTTAAAATCCCCAAGAGAATATCAGCCAGTCTCCAGACTCCAAACACTCCAAACAAGCTCAAAAACAAGCAGAATAGGGTTTGCACCCTACACTCACAGGCCTCCTCTCTTTTTCAAGTCTCCATATGAGTCAGGTAGATTTCTTACAGTTCGAGGTAAAATGAATGGGTACTTTTCAGTTCACCATGCATTACTTAGCAGGGCAGGTCACTGCTGCATTCCTCAGAGAAAAGGAACAAATGTTATCAATGTCAAATATGAAGACACAAGTCAAAAGTATATTTATACATTAGCTAAGGTTTAAATAGCTCTTAAATCTCTGAAGCTATTACATTTCATCGGTTTGTATTTTTTGTATCTAAAGTTAAACATATGCACAAGCTGTTTGGCTAGAAAAGAAGTTTGTCTCCTGAGAGATGTTATCAAAAACTGCCTGCCTAGAACTCAGTAAACCCATGCTGTTTTGTATGCCAGCAGTTACGTCTATATACTTTTCTAGCAACGCGATTTCTGTATTTCCTTAGAGTAAAAGAAACATTACCTGGTGGTGTTTTCCTGAAGCCCAGGAGTCTAGACCAGTGGCAACAGGGAATGCATCGTGAGGCTAGTCTTCATTGCTAGCTTTTCTAGTAGAGCTTAACCCCTGCCATGAGGACATCTTTCATCAGTCTCTGCCAGAGGCTAGTGAGGAAGTCACCATATCTCTTACATCTGCTCATGTGCGCAGTTGCCAAGTCATTCCCGTGGAGCAAAACCCCTTTGCTTTTTAGCACTACGTTGTGGCTCTCTCTTGTCTGCAGTCATGACTGCCTGTGCTCTGCTGCTTTCCCCATACTGTGCCTTTCTTTTGATATCAACAGTGAGTTAACATTCAGCTGCACACATGGCACTGATCAGAGAACAGTAAGGCCTTTCATTAGTGGCCCAGCTCAGATGATTTAATGGTTACTCCTTGACTCTCTCTGTGTGTGCCAAGGTAGCAGAGTTGTCTTTCTCAAGACTTGCTCAAACACTGCTTTGCCCATTTAGAGAAGGTTTGAAATATATTCAGTTTTTCAATACAGTGATATAACCTACCTAGTCTGGAAGAAACTGGGAAATTAATTGTACTTTAAAAAGCAGGCATTTACATCCAGGGTGGAAAGTTCTTTCTTCTTTTTTAAAACCCCCTTTGCAGTTCAAAATGTGGATATTTTGGTTGCATATATCTAAAGGTAATGTAGGTACAGTATCACACCCATATTTTATAATATCCTTAACCATACATAAATAGCTTAGACTACTGTGTATACTGTATTTCCCCACTGATTAGAAAAAAATAATCCAATATCCCTCTATATCAGTGGTTCTCAACCTTTCTAATGCTGTGACCCCTAAATATAGTTCCTCATGTTGTCATGCCCCCCCAACCATAAAATTATTTTTGTTGCTACTTTTAACTAATTTTGCTACTGTTATGAATTGTAATGTAAATATCTAATATGCAGGATGTATTTTAATTGTTACAAAATGAACATGATTAAAGCATAGTGATTAATCACAAAACCAATATTTTGGGAGAGTATACTCAACGGATGATGGGATTTGCAGTATCTTCAACCGATTCAGATATGACTTCCACAGACCACTGAGACCTCCACAAATTACAGACCTGGACCAGTCTTGGCATACAGAACTCACACCACCAAAGGAAAATACCGGAGAGGTTGGGGGAAAATAGACCCTGACATTTGAGAGTTGGAGTTACTTGGATTTATAGTTCACCTGCCATCAAAGAGCATTCTGAACACCATCAATAATGAAATTGAACCAAACTTGGAATACAGAAGTCCCATGAGCAAAGGAAAATATTGGAGAGGTTTGGGGAAAATAGACCCTGACATTTGGGAGTGGGAGTTGGAGTTACTTGGATTTATAGTTCATCTGCCATCAAAGAGTATTCTGAACCTCATCAATAATGGAATTGAACCAAACTTGGAACACACACTCCAATCACCAACAGAAAATACTGGAGAGGTTTGAGAAGAATTGACAGTGATTTAGGGGCAGTGTAGTTCACCTACATCTGGAGAGCACTGTGAACCCAAACGATGTACTACTGCAGTGATTCCCAACCTTTGTTCCTCCTGGTGTTTTGGACTACACCTCCCAGAATTTCTGACAGTTGGTTGTGATGGCTAGGGCTTCTGGGAGTCGAAGTCCCAAACAGTTGGCGGAACAAAGGTTGGGAACCACTGTATAGACAACTCCCTAGCAAGCTCCCTTTTAGCCTTCTCCCCCCTCCCTTCATTCCTTCCTCCCTCCCATTACAGACTGCACTATGCAGGTGCACACCAACCACAAGAAGAGAGTTTGGGAGGGATTAGGCTGCACGACCTTGATTTTGCTTCTGGGAGAATAAAAAGAGACCGAGAGGGAGGAAAGGCTAATGTATATTTTAGCATGACAAGAGGCTTTCTCATTTCTCGAAGGTGCCAGTGCATTTCCTCAGTTTTAGTGACAATGGGGTGATAATAAATAAGGGCCACTTAGCAAGCAGGAGAGGGAACCCATCAGCAATCTAAACGTAATGCAAAACGCTTGTTCAGGAGCCACCTGTGTTTGAAGCTGAAGGGGTGCCCTCCTTCTCCTGGCTCTGCCGAGGTTTAGGCTGTGCAATGCGGCTCCCGAAGGAAAGAGAGGAGGGAAAAAAGGAAAGAAAGGGATATATATAAAAAAAAGGTGGAGAAAGGGTGAGAAAAAAAGAGGGAGAAAGGATGGGGGGGGGAGAGAAATAAAAGAAGGGAGAGAACATGAGGAGAGAGGAGAAAGGTAGAGAAAGGGCAAGAGAGAAGGAAAATGGAGGAGGGGATTCCTGGGTGTTTGCTGCAGCTGACGAGGAGGCGAGAGAGGGCCTCGACTCCTCGCCCGCCTGAGGGCCCCTATTGAGGCCTTCCCCCTCAGCCATGCCTCTTAGCTGCCCTGCTTCTCCTCGTCTTCCTGAGCGTGACAACCACCCTGGCCTTGCTGCCTCTCCGTATCCAGCCACCAGGCTCGTCGCTGGGAGAGGTCATCCGGAGTTTTGGAGTTGGGTGCCATCTTTATGCGGATGACATGCAGCTCTACTACTCTTTTCCACCTAATTCCAAGGAAGCCCCTCTGGTGCTGGACTAGTGCCTGGCTGCTGTGGCTGTCTGGATGAGGAGGAACAAGCTGAAGATCAATCCCAACAAGACAGAGGTCCTCTTGGTCGATCGTAAACCAGATCGGGGTATAGGGTGGCAACCTGGGTTGGATGGGGTTACACTCCCCCTGAAATCACAGGTCCGCAGTTTGGGCGCCCTCCTCGACTCATCACTTACACTTGAAGCCCAGGCGTCAGCTGTGGCTGGGAGGGCCTTTGCACAATTAAGACTCGTGCGCCAACTGCGATCGTA